CAACAAATGCTGGTGGGGTTGTGGAGAAACTGGAACCCTTATTAATTATAGAAAAATAAATAAATAAGGCATCAGAAAACTGACATTTTTTGATAGGAAAATGGTAGGAATTTTACTTGGAATGTTACTGTCATATTTAATTTAGCAAATCTTTGAGGGTCAAACTATAGTATAATCTCTACATAGTATAGTATGTTAGATCATATAGTGCCAAACCACAGTTCAATTAATCTTGAAATGGCTGAAACAAAATTGATGTAGGAAGCATAAAATGAGAATTTGCCATTTACAATGCATTAAAGAAAACAACGTTATGAACATTTAAATTTTAACACTAAAATTAAGTCAAATGTTCATATGCTTAACAATTAAGAAACGATTTTAATAGCAAGAATCCTAAGTCAAGATTTGATACTCTGCTCCTCCCTCTTTTAGGTAGCATTAGTGTTGATATTATTTTTATAGTGAAGAAAGGACTATCTTTTTATGAAATTTTCCTATATTCCAAGAAGACATACTTACTGATTCTCTGAACAGAAATGCTTTATCTCTGGAGAACATTTCTTCTGAAATAGTCGGTTCACGGTCCTGTGATTCTAGGATTTCATCACGATTATCACAATTTGATACTGAAACTTGCTTTCTGTCTTCTAACTCTTTACTAAGAGGTTTAAATTCCTCTTTAAATTTCATGTCTGCTGTTTCAAAAGACTGACAATCAACTTGATCTTGTGATAAATTTATCTCCTTTGAAAAATGTTGCTCTTGCTGACAGAGAACATGTGGCTGGTTTGGTGATGTGGTATCTTCTTTTCCTCCAGATATTCTAGACAGCTCAGTTTGTTGAGCAAATGCAACACTCATTGACACAATGACCTAAAAAATAAAACAAACACAAAAGGACAAAATTTATAAATTACAGCAAGAATTTAAAAGCAAGTTAGCACTTAAAACTGTATGCATTAGGGAAAACAAGTATGGCCTCACAGTTTTAACCAGAAACTATATAATAAAGAAATACCCTCTCTACATACTTCAATGTCAATTCAATGTCTGCTTTTTAAAACAAAAACATATATTTTTTCTTAATAAAAAAAGCAATATATATTCAGTACAGAAGTTTTTGTTAGGGGCCATCAAGTTGAGTACGATCTATAGTGACCCTATGAACAACAGAGCTGAACCCTGTCCTGTCCTGTGCCATTCTCACACTTCCTGACACACTAGAGTCCATTGCAGCAGTCACTGTGTCAATTTCCAGAGGAATTAGAAAGAAAACAGATGTATTATATCACCCGATTTATCTAAGAAAAATAATAAATAATAACACTTTAGTAAATACTTCTCCAAATCCTCCTTTTTATGTAGATACAAATATGAATAGAGAAATGCATTTTTTCCAAAATAACTATGAGATATCATCTCACCCCAGTCAGAATAGAAAAATTTAACAGAACAGCAAGCAACAAATGCTGGCGAGGTTGTGGAGAAACTGAAACCCTTATTCACTGTTGGTGGGAGTGTAAAATGGTGCAGCCATTCTGGAAGGCGGTATGGTGCTTTCTCAAAGAGTTGCAAATAAAGATACCATTTGACCCAGCATTTCCACTACTGGGAATATACCCCAAAGAGACCATAATTACCACCCAAGCAGATATATGCACATCCATGTTTAACATGGCTTTGTTCACAATAGCAAGGAGTTGGAAACAACCTAAGTGCCCATCAACAAACAAATGGATAGAGAAGCTGTGGTATATTCACACAATGGAATACTATGCTGCATTAAAAAACAAGGGAACTCATGCAATATTATTCAAAATGGGTGACTCTGGAGGACATTATACTGAGTGAAGTATCTCAGTCACAAAAGGATAAATACTGCATGGTACCACTGTTATAAAGTGAGACTGACACTGGGATTGGGGGGAGACTGAGAAGGATGGGTTCAATAATGTATACTACATTGAAACAGATGAGGGAGAAAACTGTTTACAAGGGATATGTGATTAGGTATTTTTGTCATAACAGGAGTCCAGAGTGAAGGCTGCATAGTGGAATAAACCTGGGGGGAGGGATTGTAAAACAATGAAAGAATTTTTCTTTTACTTTTCCAAGAGGGTAGTGTACTAGGGGGGAGGGTTGGGAAGGGAAAAAAGTGCAACAATAAATGAACGGAAATCCAAAGTCTCTGTAAATTTTCATTGAAATTAATAATAAATTGAAAAAGAAAAAAAATTCATTTTTTCCTCTATAAAATGTGTTCATATTAATAAATTTGAATCTGCTTTTACAGTTTAACTATACCAAACTCCTTGCTGTTAAGTCAATTGTGACTCACAGAAATCCTGTATGAGAAAAAAAGAAAAAGAAATCCTGTATGGTAAATATTTTTCCTGTTAAAAAATGCATTTCTACAACAACATAAAGGTAAATAACCCAATTGAAAAATGGGCACAGGATATGAACAGACACTTCACCAAAGGCGACATTCAAATGGCCAACAAATACATGAAGAAATGTTCAAAATCCCTAGCTCTAAGAGAGATACAAATCAAAACAACTACAAGATATCATCTCTCCCCAGTAAGAATAGCAAAATGTAATAGAGCAGCAAACAACAAATGCTGGTGGGGTTGTGGAGAAACTGGAACCCTTATTCACTGTTGGTGGGAGTGTAAAATGGTGCAACCAATATGGAAGGCTGCATGGCACCCTCTTAAAAAGTTGCAAAAAGAAAGACCATTTGACCCAGTAATTCCATTACCGGGAATTTACCCTAAAGAAACCGTAACTGCCAGACAGATATATGCACACCCATGTTTATTGCGGCTTTGTTCACAATAGCAAAGAGTTGGAAACAACTTACGTGCCCATCAACAAACGGATGGACAGAGAAGCTGTGGTATATTCACACAATGGAATACTATACTGCATTGAAAAATAAGGAACTCATGAAATATTATTCAAAATGGGAGACCTTGGAGGACATTATGTTGAGTGAGATATCTCAGTCACAAAAGGACAAATACTGCATAGTGCCACGATTGTAGAACGGGACTGACATTAGGGCTGGGGCGAGACTGAGAAAAATGAGATAAATTATGTATACTACATTAAAACAAATGAGGGAGAGAACTGTTTGAAAGTGCTATATGATAGGCTATTATGGTTATGACAAGAGTCAAGAATGAAGGTTGCATAGTGGAGTGTACTGGGGCAGGGGCGGAGGGGGGAGGGAGGATTCTATACCAAGTGTGAACTGGGGGGAAGGGTGGGCAGGGGGAAAAAAGCAACAATGAATGTATGGAAATCCAAAATCTCTATAAATGTTCATTAAAATTAGTTTTTTTTAAAAAAAGAAATGCATTTCTATGTAATTATACAGATATAAATTCATTAATCTATCAATTACCTTGCAGAATATTTAAATTGATTTCATACTTACATTATTTTAAGTAACAATGTGATTACATTTCTGTACTATATACTTCCTTACAAATTTCATTAAGTCTAACTCTGGTTTATATGAGTTATAAACACTATTACACATTTAACGCTAATCTAATCTGACTTTCTATTGCAATGATAATCCTGAATCCCTGTGTATTTTTGTAGTACAAGTATACAGAAACACTAACCAGCAGTCTTCACCCTAACAGGTCCCTTAGCCTCTGAGAATGAACTTTACCAAAAATATTATTTCCAGTTTCATGTCTACAGATAATTTGCAGTAAAGAAAGCCGTTCTGTCACAAACCCAGGACAAAGCATGCCTGGGGTTAGAAATCTTTACTCCTACTAACCTTCGGCTCTCTCTGTTTTCCCCATTGGTCTAGGCTTTTACTTTAATTTCCTGTCTTGAACCTGATCAGCCTATCTGGGTCCTCATTCCCACCTGGTTCTTGCTAGCCTCTTTCTTTGCAGATGCTATGTCCTCCAGGTGCTGAAGTAGAGCAAAGCCAAAGCAAACAGAACAACAACAACAAACACAGAAAAAGAATAAAGAATAAGCAATGAAAAGCAAACCATTTAAAAAAAATAGGAAGCTGAAACCCAGATCCTTAAAAAGAAATCAATAAAATTCCACACAGATTAAAAATAATGAGAAGGGGGAAAGGAATTTATGGAGGGTCATAAATTCTAAATTCCAACCCTTCAAAAAAAGGCCAAACTCCTTCAATCTTACTTTCAAGTCTGTATTGTTGTTATGTGCCATCCAGTTGCACATGACTCATAGCAATGAACAACAGATCTGAACCATGTCCTATCTGCACCATCCTTACTATTCCCTACACACTGAGCCCACTGGATCAATCTATCTCACGGAGAGTCTTCCTCTCTTTGTAAGCATGATGTCCCTTTCCAAATACCAGTCTTTCTTAAAAAATGTGCCCAAAATATGGGCGATGAAGTTTTGCCAAGTAACAAAAGGCTTACTTTAGCATTCTGAAGCTTCTAACATTATATTCTACGTCAAGAGAAATGCCTTCTGGAAGAAAAAGAAACATAATTCTATTTAAAGGAACTATTAATATTATGTCTGACAACTTAAAGATGAAATAAGAAATAATTAAAAATATACTGCCATCAATAAAATCTATGTTTTCATAGCCATGTTAGGACTATAAAAATCTTTACGATAAAGGATAAACTTACCTTAGCAACTTCTTCTTCTAATCTCTCTTGGTATTGTTTTTCCAGTAGTTGATAATTTGTTTCTTGTTTTACTCCAAATTCACCAGATAACTAAATTAAAAAGCAAAATGTGTTAGTGATATATGCTAATTTTATAACACTGACTTTTATATTTCTATTTACAAAATGTCCTCAAAATATTACTATTTCTTAGAAAGTTTCTGGATAATCTCATAAATTTTACTTCTGCCATTTTAATAAAAACAAGTTCTATTGAGTAATTCTACTGAATTATCATATTAATTGCAGGGAACTTTTTAATTAAAGATGTAAAAGGAAGAAATGTATATCTGCAATTCTGATGCTTCATCTGACATACTCTGAACATGTTGCAAGGATGGGCCAGTTCTTGGAGAGGGATGTCATGCTTGGGAGGGTGGAGGAACAGCCCAAGAGAGGAAGACCCTTGATGAGCTGTACTGATTCAGTGACTGGGGCAGTGGGGGTAGGTGTGGCAGAGACAATAAGGTTGCCACACAATAGAGTTTAGGGCTGTTGTACACAGGGTCACTGTGAGTTGCAGGTGACTCGATGGCACATAACAACAACAACAATAACTTCTAAGGTGAGATAAGGATCCCCATCCACCAAACCTATTGCCATCAAGTAAATTCCAACTCATAGCAAACATGTAGGAACAAACTAGAACAATCCCCAAAGGGTTTCAGTTTCCACGACTGTAAATCTTATGGAAGCACACTGCCACGTCCCATGGCGCAGCTGGAAGATTTGAGCACTGAACTTTTGGTTAATAAACAAGAACTTTTATCGATTTTGGCATGAGGACTCTTTAGGGCTGTTGTTGTTATGTGTTTGAGTCTACTACAACTCAGAGACCCTACAAGAAATGGTCTGAACTTTGCCCTCTTTGAGCAAACTTAATCATCTCTTGACACACCAGACCCCACAGCCACAGTCACTGTGTCAAATCTTATTTAGAGTCCTCCTCTCCTGTGTTGAACCTCCACCCTTCCAAGAATGTTGTCATTCTTCAAGGACTGGTCCCTCCTGACAAAGGGGTAGTGATACTTATTAATGGCATTATTCTGTGTATACTCACAAACACATTTAATTTTATGTAAAATGCTAGCATTGGCTAGCTTTGTGAAACTGAAAGTAAAGATGCTTTTCTTCTGGTATTTATTGATAGTACACAATCTTCCAAAAATATTACTTTAAAAAAAGAAAACCGTAACAATGGAAGAATTTTTCTTTTACTTTTCAAAGAGAAGAGCAAATTGGGGGGAGGGGTGGGCAAGGAGAAAAGTGCAACAATGAATGAATGGAAAACCAAAGTCTCTCTAAACTTTCTTTAAAATTAATTTTAAAAAAAGAAAAAGAACCAATCATAACCAATTTTTTAAAATGTAAACGTATTCTCAGCATTAAAGTATTCCTCATTTATACATTATCTAAATTTTATCCAAACAGATACTGCATATGGGATATGTGTGGAAGAATCAAGAATGTGGTCAATCAAAAAAGTTAGTAAAATCAATAATGAGAAGAGGGGGTTCTGGTGCTCTACTGGAGAAGCTACACTGCAATCAGAAAGATACATAGTTTAAAACCACTAGCTGCGGGGAGCTCTGGTGGCCTAGTGGCAAGGAGCTGCAACTACAATCCCAGAGGCGCACGGTTCGAATCCACCAGATGCTCTGCCGGGGAAGGAGGGGCAATCTCCTCCTATACCAGTCAGATCTGATTTGACGGTACACGCACACAAAAATAATAAAATAAAATAAAAAATAAAAAACAAACAAAAAAACCACTAGCTGCTCCGTGGGAGAAGAATGGGCCAACTCCTCTCATCTATGTGATTTACTGCCTCTGAAAACCCCTGGGGTTTTCTTCGAATTTGACTTGATGGAACACAACAACAATAGAAAAAGAAAAGGCAAAGAATTTAGGAGCTTAAAATCTTCTGAGTGAAGACCTGAGTTTTATAGTTTTATGTTTAAAAAATGTGGCCATAAATTGGGTCTCTGTGAAATGGAGGATAAAGGCAGAAAGAGGTTTTGCTAGATGGCACGGACCACAAAAGATGAAAGGCTTTTGTATAGCCTATTGTCAGAGACTGAGATTGTTCACAGCTTTAGTTTGCTTGGCTCCACAATCAACACTCTTGACACCAGCAACCAGGAAATTAAAAGACGTATTGTGATGGGAAAGTTTGCTGTTAGACCTCTCCAAAGTACTGAAAAGCAACGATGTCAGTCTGGAGACTAAGGTGTGCCTGACACAGGCCATGGTCTTTTCAACCACCTGTTAGGCATCAGAAAGCTGGACAATGACTAGGGATGAGAGATGAAGAATTGATGCCTTTGAGCTGTGGTGATGGAAAAGAATACTGAATATACCATGGACTGCTAAGAGATTGAGCAGGTTCGGCCTGGAGAGTGTTAAATCAGGCTGCTCCTTGGAGGAAATAATTCTGAAGCTTTGTGTGACATACTCTGGACATGCTGCAAGTCCTTAGAGAGGGACATCATGCTTGGGAGAGTGGAGGGACAGCACAGGAGAGGAAGATCCTAGATGAGATGGATTGATTCAGTGACAAGGGTAATGGGGGTTGGCATGTCGGACACAGTTGAGATTGGCACAGGTGACTCACAGGCAACTCGACAGCACATATCAACAACAACATCATCAGTGCTGAATAAGTCTCATTCAATAGAACCATCTGTATTATGGAATTCTGAAACATTATTCTAGATATGGCCCAATAGAGAAGTTATGCTCACCAAGCACTGAAAATGGTTTGCTACACAGCTTACAAATACTACACAGAACAGCACAAATTTTAAACATAAAATATGGGAATATGGCAATGTAAATAGATCATAATTCCAGTTCTTCTCCCAAAATACAAGGAAACATTGCTCATCTCTTAGAGACTCTGAATTAGGAAACACAGAATAGCAGTGGGGAGCTGCAGACAGGCAAGAATCAATGAATTAACAATGAGTCCCATATGGTATGACAACTGCTTTTCCATTATCCCTGTCCCTCCCTGAATTCAGGCACATGGACCGCTAGTTGATGTGAAGAACTGAACAGGAGAACAAACCCCAGAAAAAGAATCGACTTCTTTAAACATCACAGATACAGTCTATACAAAGATATAGGATCCTGAACTTCTTGTGGATTTAAAATCCAAAAGGTTCCCAAGAAGTCTGTTTGGAATGTGTTAGTAACTCTTTGATTTATACACTGTCAGTCACAATTCTTTTATGAACAGCTACAGAAGACTCATGCAGTAGAATGTGTTTTCACAGTCAACACTATATACCTGCCTGAACACTGTAACTTAGGTGTTTGAAATCAACAGACTTAATCCCGTCAGGAGGCAGTTCTGGTTTACACACTCCCCATTTTGACTGGTGCTGAAGACTCTGATTGAGCATGCTGTGTGCTAGAAGTAGACACTTATAGTGGAAGCTATACTCATAGCCAACACACTATAGGGAGAGCTGTGATAGCAAATGGCAGACTTCCCTGGAGGTCCCTTCAGAATAGGACACTTCCTCTCCCCACTGGTAATGTGGTTGCCAGGTTCTTGCAATTTGCTATAGAAGGTTCCTATGGTGGAGTCGGCTTGCACAGTCAGCACTCTATGTGTAACGATTATCTCAGGTCTCTCAACTCAGGAGGACAGAGCTCTCCAGGAGTCAGTTTAAGTCTATCTGCTCTCTCTCCCAATAGCTGGTGAAAACGGCTGACTGAAGCTGCTGTATAATACAAAGCAGGTATCTTTAGTGGAGGCTAAAACCACAATCAACCAACCAAGACATGGACTCTGATAGCCACAGGGCAGACTTCTCTGGGGGTTCGTTCAGAGTATGACTACGCTTCTGCCAACCAGAAACTGTCTGGTTTGGTACAATCACTGACAGAAGGTTTCCAATAGTGGAATTAGGACATGGGTCACTTAAGCAGAGATTGTTCCTCCAATAAACTCCCAGTGTCATGAGGCTCTGAAACCATTAAGATGAATCTAGAGGAAGTCCTTTTTGGGACTTTCTGTTCCTCTTCCTCCCAAAATAAAGGAAAGTTGGCCAACACAGCCTCTGAATGGAAGTCCATAAATAAGTTAGCCCCACAGATCCTGGCAGGAAGCCTATGGCAAAACTAAAGGTTAGCATTCGCTCCTGAAGTGGGCTTCATTGGTGTGGGTTTTCTGACTAAAACTGTCCTTGCAGAAATAATGAATTTAAAATCAAAGAGAAGGGATGTCACTCCTTGATGGACATATTAATGAGCACATGATAGCATGCCTGAGACAGAGTGCCTACTTGTGGACACACGAAACAAAATGTAATCTCCTGTGTTCTGATTTAAATGAGGGTAGTTTAGGTTAATAACTAAGGCCTAGAACTTTCAAATTCTAATTAAACTAGGGAAGGAGAAGGAGTTACCACAAAGTGGAAGAGGAGAAAAAGCAAAGGATGATATTAATAATAAGATCTGGATAATAATTATTCCAGGATTATAAAAATTTATAAATTATAAAAAGGATAACAATGTTCTGTTCCTTAAGAGTTTTGCTATTTTGTTTCTTTGTAAAAAGTAGTGTGTGCAAAACCATCAAATACTCGGGAAAATAAATTTAATACTTTCAAACTCTCAATGTACCAAGAACAAAAAAAACCACCAAGGTTCAAGAACAGAGAAACAATGTCTCATCCAAATAAACATGGCAGAGGAGTGAAAGCACATTTACGGATGACGGAATGAGAAACAATGGTATATGAAAATTCAATCTCAAATAAAAATTTTTTAAAAGGTATTAATGATTAGTTGGAGAAAATATAATGGAAGAAAATAATATAACCTCCTGAAATATAATTAAAGGACTAAAGATGGATTGATACATTATCTGGGAAAATATGTTGGAATTAGTGAGACTGGCTCAGGACAGGGAAGAGTTCAGAGCTGCTGTACACAGGGTTGCAACAACAACATACAATACTGGGTTTTTTAAAAAAATTAATAAGTCTCTTGTTTAGCATCAACAAGACCTCCAGGAGGGCTTTTGTATTTAAAAGTTG